GGCTGCTACTGCCCCAGGGGCTCATGGGTCTGGATCCCTGGCTGTTAGTTAGCAGTTCTTCCTGCCATTGCCAATCATGACACCTGCGGTGTGACCGGGTGGGACCCATCACCCCGACAGGGTTCCGCTCCTACGTGGCTCTAGGTTTGAGGGCTCCGGTCCTAGCAGAGGCAGTGTCTGGGGCACGGGCAGAGATGGGGAGGGTGGGGCACGGTCTGCTCTCTGACCTGGGGTGCAGTGGGAGTCGTCCCTCAGTGGCTTCCAAGCCAGCCTGCCAGGGGACAGTGGGGCAGCCCCTGGGAAAGGGACCAAGCAGGACAGGGACCAGAGTCGGCAGGGGCAGAGGGAGGGGGCTGAGCACTACAGACAATTCGACACTAGAGGAGAGAGACAGACAGACACAAAAGATGGCTTACTTTTGAGAGGCGCTTGTGAGACTAAGACCATGCATGCAAAGGAGGTGTTTAGGGATGGCGGGGAAGAAGAGGAGGAACAAGACATCAAAGATAATTCAGATGGGACGCCAGCTCCCGTGCCTCCCAGGTCCACCCTTCCCGCCCCGGGGAGTGCAGTGGACAGAGGGGCATCCGAGGAGCATGTGGGCAAAGATGCCTCCTGCCTCCCGAAGGGCAGAGGGCGAGTGCCCAGCGCCCCTGGGGACCATAGCTGGCTGGGGCCTCCTCTAGCCCGGGCTTCCCTGGGGGCATTTCAGGGGCCAGTGCTCAGATGTGGTGCCGCTGTGCTGGGGGTAGGGACAGCAGCCCGGTCACTGCCTCTCCGCAGGTGAGCACCAAGCGGGTCAGTGCAAAGGGAAGGCAGGATGATGTGTGGGGAAGTAAAAAATACGGGGTTTCCAGGGGACTTGCTCCACCCATATATGGCTGTCCAAATAACGTTCTGGTCTACACCCGCTCTAGGGACCAAGCTCCGAAAGGCAGCAGGGATACGCGCAGCCCTGCCCCTGTCTGCAGGGTTGCTCCAAGCCCCAAGGAACTCGGGGCTCCCTGGCTCCTAGGAGGGAGTAGGCGCAGAGCCACTTCCTGAGCTCAGGGCGCCCGAGCACTCCACAGGGCCGGTAGTTCACAGGGTCTCTCCTGCTCGCCCTCGTTCAACAGAAGCCATCTCAGGTCACCAGGGCCCCTCCACCCTGTGAGGTCCCTGGAGCAAGGTGCGCCCTACCCCTGTCCCCAGCCCCGCACTCCTACCCGCCACTAACAACGATGCGCAGCGTTTCCGCGGGGTCAGCTCACCTTGGAATTTTTGCCCCCACTCCGGCCAGACTGTGAGGAGCAGCTGCGCTGCACGCCCTGCTCCGGCGTGGACGGCGACTTGTCCGAGGAGTGATCTGAGCCCTTCTCCACCATGGCGTCTCCGTCCTGGTTCTGTGGGGTTGGTGAGCGGGACCGCTTCCGGAGGATGGGGGAGCAGGCCGGCGTGCTGCGGTTTGAGTTACTGGCAGTGCTGCAGGGGCAGATGGAGAGGGAGTGGGGTGGAAAGGGGAGGACGGGGAGAAGCAGGCGGTCAGTGACTGGAGGCCAAAGACGTCCAAAGGAGCCAGCTCAGGGAGCCAGGCCAAGGGGCAGGGGGGACAAGGAGACCCAAACCCAGCTCTGGCCTTACTGTGCAGCAGTACCGCTGCCGGCCAGCAGAGGGCAGCGGTGCCCGCGTGAACGGGGAGCCAGGACTGGCAGGGCCCAGTGGGGGCGTTGGCATCTACACTGCCGGTTATTATTTGAGCCGCTGTATATACGAACAACTGTCTTGGAAAAAAGAATTTAAGATCCAAAAGACTCATTAGAGATGATCTCATAGTATCAACTCATTTTAAACACACTGCAATTCGAAGTTTCTATGCATTGGGTTTGGACGTTTTTTTAGTTTGCTAAGAGGGCACATGCGCTGGCTGGAGACAGGAGAGTGAGAAATACCACCACCACCACCACGGCCATGCCACAGTCCTTTCTCCTCCATTCTCCCCTGGGGGTTTTGGGCATGAGCACACGGGATGTGATCTTCAAGCCACCGAGTCCACTGGCCACGTGAGGTCAAGCCTTCACCACCACGCCACCTGCTGGCCCGGGGGTGGACATTTTTGTCCCTAAAAATGACAGTAATAGGAACCAGCAGATGGTGTAATGGTTACATCACCGGACTTCCACATGGCTGACCACGGTTCGAATCCCAGACCCAGAAGTTTGAAACTCACACCAGGCACGTTTGCATGTGTGCCCAGAATCCCAAGAGGAGAACGGAGGAGAAGGGATTGTGGCGTGGCCATGCCCCCCCCCCCCCCCGCGCGTCCTCACTTTCTGTCTCTCTGTCTCTCTCTGTCCCTCTAGTGAGCACACGGCCCCTCTAGCAAAAATCTCTCTTAAAAAAAAAAAAAAAAACGGAAACCACCTGGGGCTCCGCACAGCTCTGCCACCACAGCAGGCCATGCTGGGCCCACTCCCTCTGCCACGGATGACACAGTAGAGGGTCCCACATCCCATGCTCCCACCCCAAGATCCACTTCCAACAAGCCCCCTCGACTTCCCGCAGGACCCAGGCCACCGGTTTACAGGCTGTAGAAATAGCTACTAGTCGGTATGTAGCTCGCGCTTTCAATGGAGTAGAAGAGAAAGAAAAGAGTAGAAAAGGGGGGAATGGAATGCAATTGCGTTCAAGTAGGTGTTTGCCTGGCTTTCAGAGAATGGAATGAAGAACAAAAGGGGCGAAAAGGGGAAGAGGAGAGAAAGCAGCAGCAAAGAGGCCCAGCACAGGCGGCAGAGGTGAGGTGAGAAGGCTCCAGGTTCGGCCTGGTCTGCTTGATGCTCTGAGTGCATCCCTGGTCCTGGGTGGCCGCAGGGCAGGGGCCAGACTGTGACATGAGAAAAGAAAAGGAGGGAGGGTAGGAAGAAGGAAAGAGAGAGACAGGGGAACAGGAAGGACAGGAAATGTGAGACTGAGCCCCCAAGGCACCAGGGAGTGTGGGGAGGCAAGACCTACCCCTTGCCCCCTGCCGGGCAGCAACACTGCAGGAGGCTGTCCTGGCCTCAGCTGTCAGGGAGCTCACCCCAGCCTTCCCTGGGGAGCACGGGGCAGGGTGAGGGACGCTGCCATTTGCATGGACACCCAGCTGTGTTCAGGGGACCCATTTGCAATGGAAACCTTCCACCTGGGCACCCTCAGCAGAGGGAAGGGGAAGCAAGATGGGGGTGGGGAGGGGTGGGGAGGGCCCAGCACTGTGACTTTTGGAAGGAAACTTGTGGAAAGAAGGGAGAAGGAGACCAGGGGAAAGGAAGACAAACGACCGATCAGCCATAGGACGTGTGGAGAAAGCAAGGCCCGGCATTTTGTTCTGTCCTAAAACAAAATTTAAATGTAAAATTCTGTTTGCCACACGATCCATCAAGCCAGGCAATAGTAAAGCCCTTGGGAGCCCAGGACACCATGTGTTCTGGTGGGCTGCGGCTGGATCGCCGAGTGAGGGCTCTGCTGAGGATGTGGGTCTGTCTGTCTGTCTGTCTGTCTTTCTCAAGCAATAAACAAGCCAACAAAGACGAGTGTCTCGAGTCCTGTCTGCCCGCCCAGCCCCCTTACCTTACTTCTACACATGTGCCCTGGAGGAAGGAAGTTCCTTTCCTTTCCTTCAGGTGGAAAGGCCACACTTGGGGCCTGGGGACAAGTGTGACCCCCGTGCCAGCCTTGGGGGGACTCCCAAAGAGCAGGCCCAGGTGCAACCTTCCCAGGGTGAGCCTCTCTCAGGGCCAGTCCCTGCACGGCTAGGTGCTCCAGGGTTTAAACTCCCCTAAAGTCACTTCCTGGACCATCAGCCAAAGCACCTACCCACGCCCCGACTAGCTGGCTCAAAAGAGGACAAGGGAGAACCATGACCACGCGCATGCCCACCTCGGACACCGCAGGACCTGCAGCCCAGCCCTTGTCCAAGGGACACCTCTGGGCATGGCCGTTCCCAACCCTGTCCGTCCTGCTGATGGCGGCCTGTCGAGGAGGGATTCACACAAAGGGCGAGCATAAAGCGCGATAATACCACGCGAAGCCACCAGGCTGTCCCTGAGCCGTCCTATCGCCCGGCAGCTCAGGTTGGTCGACCCTCCGCTCCACAGGACACACTCTCTCCAGTCCACATCTCCTGTCTCAGGCACTGGCTCCTCTCTTGCTACCCAGTTCTAAAGTTAGTCTTTGGGACCAGCAGATGGCGTAGTGGTTACATCACTGGACTCCCGTGTAGTCGACCATGGTTGGAGTCCTGGACTGTGGCCTAAAACTCACGCTGGGCACAGGGTGTGTGTGTGTGCGTGCCTAAGATCCTGAGAGGAGAATGGAGAAGAAGGGATTGCAGTGTGGCCACTCCCCTCAGGGGGTGATTTCTCACTTTCTGTCTCTCTGTGTACTTGACAGAGAGACAGAGAGACAGAGTGCAAAATCACCCCCCCCCCAGGGGGCTGTCCACACTGCAGTCCCTTCTCCTCCATTCTCCTCTCAGGAGTCTGGGCACACACGCACACACCTGGCCTGAGTCCCAAGCCGCAGGGTCTGGGACTCAAATCACAGTTGACCACATAGGCATCTAGAGCCTTAACCACTATGCCACCTGCTGGCCCCATTCCCCTGGTTTTCCTTTTTATTATTATTATTTTTTTAACTTTTATTTATCATTATTTTTATTGCTATGTAATTTGCTGTAGGGCCCATGTGCTCACCAGAGAGAGAGAGAGAGAGACAGGGAAAACGAGAAAGCAAGCTGCCAGGTCCAAGACTTGAAACTCAGTCAGCCATGTGTGAGTCCAACGCCTTAAGCACCACACCAGCTGCCGGCCCCTCCCCTGGGAGGCACCATCCTCACCCTCCTACCTCCAGGCATCTGTACATCTACGGACTTGTGCCAAAAGGGTCCTTCCCCTATCACTACCCACTGGAGTCCTCTGACTTTCCCAAGACGGATCTAAGTGCCACCTTCTCCAGAAAGCATCGGCAAATCCCACTGCTGCAGTAACTCCAGCATCAACACATTCTCCCTGCTCCTAATAAAGCCCAGACCCAGAGGCACACCCTCTGCACCTCCCACCTTGCCTCGGGCAGTGCTTTGTGGGCAGCCTGTGCTCAGGAAAGGTTCTGCTGAATGGAATCCCACCCTGGAGGAAGTCTTGTCTCTGCGACTTTAACGATTCCCCTATCTCCAAGGCTCCCAATCCTACTACAAACTAAATAGCTATAAGTGGGGCCAGTGGTACAACAGGGAGACAGGAAGCTCTGTGAGGTGAGCCCACCTGGGAAGGTTCCAGTTAAAATCCAGAGACCCCTGGTACCAGCAGTTGGCATAATGAGTATGTCACTGGACTTCCACAAAGTCAGTCATGGTTCAAGGACGCGCGTGCGTGCGTGCCCAAGATCCCGAGAGGAGAATGGAGAAGGGATTGCGGCGTGGCCATCCCCTCTGGGGGATGCTTTATTGCTTTCTGTCTGTCTCTCCGGTGAGTGCATGTGCCCCAGGACACACCTGCCCACGACCCAGGTTTACTGAGGTTGGGGTGGATCACACTGTTAGAACCCTGCTGCGGGTACTGTCTGTCTCTCTCTTTTTGTTCAGGGAAGAGATAAATGAATGTAATGTGGCCAGCAGGTGGCGTAGTGGTAAGGGTGCTGGACTCCCACATGACCAGCTAGGGTTCCAGTCCTAGACCTGGCAGCTTGCTTTCTCACTTTCTGTCTCTTTCTCTCTCTCTCTGGTTAAATATAAATAATAATAATAATGATAATGAATAAAATTGAATACTTTTTTTAAAAAAAGGAAGCAATAAATGAACTTAAAAAGAAATATCTAGGGGTCAGCAGTTAGCGTAATGGCTATGTCACTGGACTCCCATGTAGTCAACCGCGGTTCGAGTCCCAGACCTGGTGGCTTAAACTCATGCCGGGCGCGTGTGCGTGCGTGCCCAAGATCCCAAGAGGAGAATGGAGGAGAAGGGATGGCGACATGGCCATCCCCCCTGGGGGGTGATTTCTGGCTTTCTGTCTCTCTGTGTCTTTCTGGTGAGCGCATGCACCCTATCGCAAAAACCTCTCCCCCCCCCAAAAAAAAATGAAAGATCTAAAAATTACTGCACAGCACCAAGCATTTGCTAAGCACGGCTCCATGTAATCCTCCCAACCAACCTAAGAAGTCTTGGTGGAGGGGCCAGCATATGGGCACTGGACACTCACATGGAAGTCTTGGTGGATAACATTAGTGGACCTATTTTTCAGGTGATAAGTGTGAATTCCTGACAGATAAGGGAAGGACAGGATTTAAGTAGCCCTGTCTAATGACAGGGATTTTTCTTAGAACATGCATTCGGGAATATTTGCTTGCTGAGAGAGAAAGCGAGAAATCATCCCCTAGGGGAACAGCCACGCCGCAATCCCTTCTCCTCCATTCCCTGGGATCTTGGGCACGCATGCACAGGTGCCCAGTGTGA